TTGAAAATGCTTGAAAAAAAAAAAAGCATAAATCTGCAGAGTCTGCAGAGTTTCTGATCAGCGTAGCAGAAAGCTATGCAGGCCTTTTCTTCAGTGCTGTATGTTTTGTCATGGTGCGGTATTTTGAGTGCAGATTACCAATGTCTGCTCATGTTCACACGTGCTCAGACGCTTACAGTAGCCAGAGTTCAGCTATGAATAAGAGCATTCAACAGCACAGTGTGTCAGGACGCACATTTATGCACGTGTAAGTATAAATCTTCAAAATCCTGGCTTGGAGACATAGTTAGCTTACTTTATTCTGTCTCAATTGTCTTGTCCTCTGTCTGCTCTGCATTCTCTTATCTTAACTTATTATTTTGTCTTCTCTTACTGACATCATTGCCTTGAGAAGCCAGAAATTCCTTGTCTGTACCCATGTGCCTCTTCAAGTCTTGACTTGTTTTTTGTGGGTCTTCTATAGGCTGATATACGCTGTAATCTTGATTTGTATGTTCTTTCTTTAAGACATTTTTCATGTGCATGAATAGTGGTGTTTGCTAAGTATCATTATTACAATTACTCGTACTTGGGTTTAAGAATTTGAAGAAAGTAAGCGATTATGTGTGCAATTTTAGCCTTTGTTGGACTATGCAAAAAACAAACATATAAAAAAATCCTGTTGCAACCACCTAGAACGACACCTAGAGCAACCAAAATGCCCTATCAAACACCCTAGAAATCGCACAGGGGCACAGGGGCACAGGGCAGGTATCAGTCATATTTTCTTCAGAAAATGTAAAAAAGGAACTTGTGGTACATTTTTGTGTTTTGAAAGAGAAAAAGTATCCAGTGACTCATGGCCCGAGGTTACATGGGGTGGTGTTGTAGTGTTTATTTGTTTGAGAGGTGAGAACCGGTAATAAGATCCTCTAGTGTCTGTGCTGTTTTTTGTAAATGTGTAGCTATGAATTGATGGCAGTTAACACGGCTCTCACAGGCATGTGTGGAATGGGCTGTGAGGGTGGGATCTGTTACCCCCCATCACATTCTGTCTCTGGAGGGGGGCAACAGCTGTGTTTGAGCTTTGAACTCTGGAGTGACCCATCGCAGGTTCACTTCACCCACTCATGTACATACCAGCTAACCATGTTACAGGATTTATGACATGTGCCCGGACTCTCGCAGCTGTTTCGGCATCCCCCATTGCCATGGTAATCCCTCCTCCTCCTGCTCTCCTCATAAGCAGGCCATTATTTTGGAGTCGGAACGCTGAGGTTGCGGAACTTCTGTGGAGGATCAGTTCCTTTCCTGTGAATTCCTGCAGAGCAACACTGATGTCTATACACAGACAGAAACGTACATCATGTCAGGATGTGGTGTAAAGATAAAAAATGCAGTGATGGGAGGAAGAAGAGGAGAGGAGATGGAGAGAGGGAACAAGTAAAGCCCATAGCGACTGAGTAGGTGTGCAGTCCACTGCTCTTTACTATAGTACTATACATGCTCTGTAAGGCTCATTCACACCAAGTCTGAGTTCCTTGCACAAAATACATGCATAAAGTTTGTTTTTTTTCGCCTCTCTTTGACGTGTGTGCTGATGATCGATTGCTTTTGATTATTCATTCTGAGACTAGGTTGGATATTTAATTGTTTGGAAGTTTAAAACAATTTATTCTGGGAAGTTTTTTATATTTATTTTATATATTATCAAATTTTATAGCTTTGTTTAAATAGATAGATAGATAGATATGTATTTATATATATATATATATATATATATACATAAGACATGCACACATACACACACACACATTATATTATATTAACATATTACCTTCATGTGGTTTAGTTGCATTGGCATTGCATTTGTTGTGAATATTTTTTTTCTTTTTTGTTTGCATCTTTATGGATTTGCTATTTTTTATTTGAAAAAAATAATTTAATTCAATTTTAATACAAAAATTTTATCATCAAAAAGGGTTAATAATTCATAAAACTACTATACAAATCTACAACTCCTATGTATTTATTTATTTATCTGCATTTCACTTCTGCTCTATCTATCTACAAATTGCTTGTGTTGTTCCTCATGTTAAAGTCACTTTGTCTCTGAATATTATGCTGAGATATGTTAAATAAATGACCAATTATCTTTTAAGACCCTCACAAAAAATATAGGCTAATAAGTTGGAAAAGAGTATAGATGAGGGTGAGGGGAATGAATGTGACGTCAGAGATCACCTCACAGAATGCTGTTCACCTATACCTGCAACACGCTTTTTTATTGCAAGAGTGTTCCAGGATATGCCCCTCAACATTTCCATGTCCTTTTGCCCTGTTGATTAAGGTGTTGCTGGGTTTTCAGGTGCTTAATGATTGGCCAAGCATTCATGTGTCCTCTGACTATGTGCTTCCACTCTTATCACTATGGAAACACAAGAAAATGCAGAAAGCATTCAACAGATGAATGTATGCAATAATTAAGCCCAAGGGAGTCTGGACACAACTGGACTTTTATTGAACATTTCAAACGCACTTACTTCATGCTGCATCAAACCCAACCCAACCAAACCAAATAAAAGCCTGTCACAGCTAGGGTTGGGTCGATAGACTATGCCTTTGTCCATCGCCGATGGCTGATAGACATCACGATGTTGTTCTGTATTTGTATTATTGTTTATGTGGAAAGTGAAATTTTATGTACTGTAATGTAACAGACATTATGTAATGTAAATGTATAATGTAACCCCCGCACCCCCACGATGTCATTGTCCATCGCGATGTTTCACTGTAGACATCGTCCAATGCCAATTTTGTAGACATCGCCCAACCCTAGTCACAGCAACTTATTTTTGCCAATAAGTAACCATCTAACAACCAAATCGTTGGATGTAATCTCATCCTCATCTAGAACTTCCTGCCTCTTGTGAGAAGCATGTTGCATCTCTTGTCAAGTTCCTAACATACGTGCAGTGCACACACACACACAGAGTCTGCTGAGATTTCTCTGCAGTCTGAAGTTCAGGTTCATTCACACTCCTGTGACCAGCCGCCCGTCTGACAGATGGAAGAAAGAGCATCTGAGCCCCATTTCAAAGAGCCCACCTTTCCACCTCGCTACTCCGCTCAGATATTTCCACAGATGTGTTTTTGTTCTGCATATCTGTGAGGAGGCTTGCGTTGACAAAGGCCCCTGACATGGCTGAAGTGCTTCTTTGTAGCAGAGGAACGTTGGGGTTGCATTGCATTGAGGGGTTGTGGAAGTTAGTATAGAAGGTGGGGGATGGTGTGTGTGTGTTGAAGGGGATACTGCGATGTTTCACTGTAGACATCGTCCAATGCCAATTTTGTAGACATCGCCCAACCCTAGTCACAGCAACTTATTTTTGCCAATAAGTAACCATCTAACAACCAAATCGTTGGATGTAATCTCATCCTCATCTAGAACTTCCTGCCTCTTGTGAGAAGCATGTTGCATCTCTTGTCAAGTTCCTAACATACGTGCAGTGCACACACACACACAGAGTCTGCTGAGATTTCTCTGCAGTCTGAAGTTCAGGTTCATTCACACTCCTGTGACCAGCCGCCCGTCTGACAGATGGAAGAAAGAGCATCTGAGCCCCATTTCAAAGAGCCCACCTTTCCACCTCGCTACTCCGCTCAGATATTTCCACAGATGTGTTTTTGTTCTGCATATCTGTGAGGAGGCTTGCGTTGACAAAGGCCCCTGACATGGCTGAAGTGCTTCTTTGTAGCAGAGGAACGTTGGGGTTGCATTGCATTGAGGGGTTGTGGGGTGGGGGATGGTGTGTGTGTGTGTGTGTGTGTGTGTTGAAGGGGATACTGTGTTGTCAGAGCTGAGGAGCTTAGAGAGGAAGTGGATGGATATTTAAGCATTAAGCCTTTCGGCTTTCTTAAGGAAGACACATTTCCAGAGAGATTAGATGAAGAATGCCTGATTTTTATGTTAGGATGCTCCGCTTTGGATTGCTCTTATAGTTTTATATGAGTTGATGTGCATCACACATTGATTTTTTTCATTATATACAGTATTTACTCGCTTTACTAAACAGAACAGCCGTTCCCGTGAGAATGTGGCATTGTGTTTTGGGAGTGGTAGAGATAGCAAAACGAACACAAATGAATGTCAGGTGAACTAAAATCGACCTGCTGAGTTTTAGCTTTCATCAGAGATGTTACAGGGAAATGTGCCGTAAACACAGTATTTAAAATAAATGTTTTTATCTAATTCCATGATTTATGAACTATCTTCAGAGAAGAATGATGAAGTTCTTATGTATCTGGTAATGTTTTCAGAAATGTTAGAAATGCAATTCATATAATGACTTTACATGACTTTACTTTATGATGAACATTTTTAATTTTTGTATTGGAAAAAAAAAATATATATACACACACACACACACACACACTCACACACACACATAAAATAACATAATCAGATTTTTTTATGTGTTTTTGGTGATCCAGGATGATTAATGATAAATTTCAACATACCTTAGCATCGCATCATTTAATAGTCATGATGTCATTACTTCCTCCTTTCTTTCTCTCTGGGGCAGAATGACTGTGTGTTGATTGAGTCATGCTAATGGAGTGAGTTCAGGGAAAAGAGTCCAATTATGTCCATGTCTTTGATTAAGTCACTGTGGGAGAACATCTGTGAACCTCAGTGACTTTATCAGTCCATCAGTCACCTAAAAACAGCATTGCTTTGGCATTAATATGAACTCACAGCCATAACTGACGCTTATTAATGCAGGGTCACTCCCATCAGACAGCCTGAGAGAGACAGAAGATTTCATCTGTTTTTGAGCTCGTATGTGATGACTTCATGTGAAAAGTTGCAGGATGTTCATTGGCTTCATTATAATATAGAATAATAAAGCCGATGAACTTCCTGCAAGTGGAAGTTCATCAGCTTCATTATTCTATACTATAATATAAAACATTATTCATATGTGAACTTACTTTGAAATTCTTTTTATTCTTCCCAGCTTTTCCATGTTGCATATGTGCTCATCAAATTTGCCAACTCGCCCCGGCCGGACCTGTGGGTGCTGGAGCACTCCATTGACTTTGGGAAAACATACAAGCCATGGCAGTTCTTCGCCTGTGAGTATAACTGAAATGAGCATTTTATCAGGTAACACTTTATTTCGATAGTCCACATTAGACATTCTATTAACAGTAAGTAACTTTGCAACTACATGTCAACTAGCAGTTAGTAGAGTATTAGTAGACTGTCTGCTTAATATCTTCTAACACTTTCTTTGTCAACTTATTCTACTAACCCTAAACCTACCCTGTCTACTCTGAGAGTTAGTAGACATGTAGTTGCAAATTAATGATAATTAGTTGACATGTAGTTGACATGTAGTTACAAAGTTACTTATAGTTAATAGAATGTCTAAAGTGGACTATCGAAATAAAGTGTAACCTTTTATCATTGTACTTATGTGTTATGTACTGAAAACGACTTTGTGAAGAGTGTATGGCCTTTAGGAATGGGAATGAAAGTGTGGGTTAAGTGAGAAAAGTCAGGTTTTGACCAGTTCTCTCTGTTTTTTTTCACACATATTGGGTTGTTTTGTTTGTCACTAAAGGCCATCGGTACTGTAGGTGGCAACACAATCCTGTCAACAATAACTACAGTCCTTGGCTGGCATTTGGAGGTTTGGCTTTATCGCCATAATGAAATGTAATATTCCATCAGCTCACAATCCATCAAGCCCACAGCTGCCTCCATGACTCTGTACAAAACAAAGAAAGATGGAGAGAAGAGAGAACATTGTGTGACAGATTACTGTGTGACTTATATATGACCCCTTTAAATTATAAAAAAAGTAAAAATATGAATGGAATTATAATGTTATACTAAAACTACAATTAAAATAATGGCAAAAACCCTTAAGATAACATGTAGAAAGAAAAAAACGCATCTTAAGCACGCAGAATAACATAAGTGGACTTTGAACGATTAATTGCCGCTTTGAACGATTACGTAATTGTGGCATCCATAATTATAATCGCGATTAGAAATTCGATTAATTGTGCAGCCCTAACTTATACTTTATAAGTGGCAGATTTTCGAGATAATATTCAGTCTAGAGTCAGCATTGAGTTCATTATTAATTATCATTTATCAATTATTTATTTTGTCGGGGAAAAACTGGCATCATGACAAGATGTGCTATATTGTGAGCGTCACGGTTATGTTCAGTTTAGTTCAGTTCCTGTTTTGTCTGTTATGAATTCTCATTAGTTTCCATGGTTTCTGATTAGTTAATCTTTGTCCAGCTGTTCCTGTTTAGTTACCTCATTTACTATGTGTGTATATATACTCCCTATTCTGTTCACTCCTTTGTCGGTTATTGTCTTGTGTAATGTGTTGTTCTACTCCTGCGTTCTCAGTAAAGTCTATTTTGAAGTGTTAATCATTGTTTACATTCCTTATTCCGCAACTACTCGTGGCAGTGTGTAATATCCAGAATGAAATATAATATGGTAGAAAACACTTACACTTTATGTTGTTGATATTAATTTCATAATTTATATAAATTATAATTCTATTTATATATGTACTTATGTTATGTTTATATTAATTTATTATTTTATATTAAATTATAGTTATATTATTTTATATTTATTAATAGTTATTAATAATAATTTGAAATACATTTATATTATGTTTTGTTTAAACATGTTTATTAAAAATGTTATTTTCTTTAGATAACATGTTTAAAAATCTTTATCAGTTACTATTTCAGTACAAGCATCATAATATAAAATCACTTGTGTTTCCTCTCACTTTCACATTCATACATAGAATTGTAATTAAAGATATTAATAATCAAATCAAAGTCCATTAATATTTAAAGTTCACTAATTTACTTACTTAAAGTCGACATAAAACAGAAGCTGTGATCATAATTTTTTTTCTAATATGACCTATATCCAGGTGAAGCAGCTTCTTGGAAAAAAAAAAAAAAATGTATGGCAGGACTTTGTCCAGGAATTGATTTTTGGATCTCGTGTGATCGTTGCAAGGGAAGTTATTTTTTGATCAAACGTTTACATTTTCTCAACTGATTTGTTCATGCCTCTGTTTTTGCTCCAGCCTCTAAGAGAGACTGTATCGAGCGGTTTGGCCAGAGAACTATCAAGAGGATCAACCGTGATGACGATATCATCTGCACAACTGAGTACTCACGGATTGTCCCTTTGGAGAATGGAGAGGTACAGACACGGACAAACTCTGTCCCAACACTGGCTCCTGCCCACTGACCTTTCTCTCCTGCTTATATCTCTGTCAGTGCACTTATATACTTATAGTACTTATACTTTAGGTATCATTGTGTAGTCTGACTTTTTTGATTGTTAAATCACTCTCACACACATTCAGATTGTGGTGTCTCTGGTGAACGGACGTCCGGGCGCCATGAACTTCTCTTACTCTCCAGTTCTGAGGGAGTTCACCAAGGCCACCAACATCCGCCTGCGCTTCCTGCACACCAACACGCTGCTGGGTCACCTGATGGGCAAAGCCCTGAGAGACCCCACGGTCACACGAAGAGTAAGATTCAGTTTTTTGAATGGACAGAAATTATAAATGAAACGCTATCACATTCATGTTTAAAACCATAAATTATTCCAACTATAAAATATTCTCTGCATTTTTTCTTCAGTATTACTACAGTATTAAAGACATCAGTATTGGAGGGAGATGTGTGTGTAATGGCCACGCTGAGGCCTGTAATGCCCAAGACCCCAATGACCCATACAAGTAAGTGACTTTTAAAAATATTTTGATTTTATTTATGGACTTTAAATATCACAAGTCAGAACTTGCACCATCGCATCATCAAACAGAGTGTCAGAGCATGTGAACATCCTGCCAGTGTGCCACAACCTCCAAGAAGCTTTACAATTATTCACTTTCCTTTACTCATACTTGCACTACTATTCAAAAGTTTGGGGACAGTACATTTTATTATTATTATTTTTTTTTTTTTGAAAGATGTTAATACTTTTATGAAGCAGGGATGTATTAAATTGTTCAAAAGTGACTAAATACATTTATAATGTTACAAAACATTTTTCCATTTTTTTTTCTGGACTCCTTTTTAATGGTTAAATTAAATTTTATTAATCAAAAAGCATGTCTAATTAATTAAAATCATGAAACTTAAATAATTGAACATCAATTTATTAAAAGTTTAACAAAAATTACATGTTTAGGGCCCTATGAAATGTTTTATTTTTTCCAACCTTATGTTTTATTGTAACCAAATTCTGTTTTAGCATGTCTAATTATTTGAAAGCATAAAACAAGTTTTACAATAATATAAAAACAATAATTTATTCTTACAGCGTTTCAGTACGAGTGGTAAACAAAACCGCGCGTCTGCGCCATTCATTAACACAGAGACACGCAGCATTCATATTTAAATAGCCGTTTTGCGGCTTAATATTTACAAATATTAGTGGGAGTGTGCTCCCTTGTGTGTGCGCGCGCGTCGGGGTGGAACTCCGCTGTGCGTGATGCAGAGAGCGCGACCATAACGTAGAGACCGAAATGACATGCTGTCGTGTAAATAAGATAAATAACATAAGGCTATTTAGTTTGTTTAATAAAAGAACAAGCTATATACCTGTTCTATCGGAAAGGTCACTTTAAATGACTTCTGTTGTGATCTGGCGCTATAGAGAAAATATAATTAAATAAAATTAACTTGACCTTCAAGGGGGGCGGGTGGTGCCGTTGGGGGGGCGGGCCAATATAATGGCAGGGGAAACACTGAAGATGCAATTATACTTTCATCATCAATATGCATATGTTGTTGCTACACTGTCGCAAATATTCAAATATTTCCCAGATTTGTCCATACACCTTCATATTTGCATAACTACTAGCTGATGGCCATTTGTTTCAGTAAATGTGCTTGTGTGCCAAAGAAGGAGGCTGAAATCATTCTCATTCATAATCTGCTCTTTTCTGTAGCCAGAGGGTGTTAAAATTACCCTTAGTTTCCACCCGCACAGCAGAACACTAGCACATGCACATGCACATACATACTGCACTGACGCTCTGCTCTGAGGAGTCTTCACTTGCCTGATTCTCAACTTTTTGCACATGTTTTCACCCTACAATAATATTTTCCCTCAAGCACAATGTTTTGACAAGAGCTAATACGTAATGCAGAGTTTTAGGAAATAGCCACAGGGCCTCTAATACCACAAAACAACCAGTGCTAGATCAGGTCGTTAGGATATTTCCACTAAGGTTTTTAGCTGGAAGGCTCATAGTCAGGGCATCTCGCTTCCTCTAAGCGCGTGTCTCAGGACAGTGAGTGATGGTGGCTGGGGAGGGACATTCTTCAGTTCTGAGGCCCTGCAGGCGTCTGGATTTACTAGCTTGTCAAAAGATAGGCGTGTATCATGAGACAGCACACTGTGAACTGTCTCTCTGTTCTTAACCTGCTAATTGTCCAATGCCTTGGATCAGTTCACACTTTCAATGGGCTAAACATCTAGGAAAGGTTTTATTCACGCAAGTCATTGTAAAACCTGTTGTAGAAGTTTTTGTTGAACGTATACAGTGGCTGCATTTATTTTGCTGCTTTGATCATGTTCCAGAATTGAAAGCGTAATAAAATATCTTACAAGCATTCAAGCGAATGTGTGGTCCTTTACTGCAGCAGACCTTTGGACATAAAGCAGATCAGTCTGTTTATGTAATATTTCAGGAATCTTGAGAGATTTTCCTGGCTCTTTGTATGTCGTAATCAAGATATATCCGCCGGTCATAGTTTTTGTCCCTGCTGATAAATAGTGTGTGTATTCGGTCATTCCAGAGATTCCTGCAGCGTTCAGTGTGAGCAAACAGGAATATAAACCACCTGGAAGGTGTCAGATGTGTCAGTTTGAAACTCTCCTGTGTGGGACTTATCACAACCCAGAGGGTTAATACAGATCATAGCAACAAGAAACAGATGCTAACATTGCGTTTGGAGAGGATGGAGAGTTTTCATAACCTTCATGGATCTCTGTTAAATCTGCTGTTCTTTGTGATTTCCTTTGTATAGGGGATATAGTGTGTGTGTGTGTGTGTGTGTGTGTGTGTAACCGATATTGTGGAGTTTTACTGATATACATGCAATGGGGATATAGGAGACCAGATGCTGTCCCCTGAGACTGTCACACCTGTATATTTCAACATACAACATACATAGGTGTCAGATGTGTCAGTTTGAAACTCTCCTGTGTGGGACTTATCACAACCCAGAGGGTTAATACAGATCATAGCAACAAGAAACAGATGCTAACATTGCGTTTGGAGAGGATGGAGAGTTTTCATAACCTTCATGGATCTCTGTTAAATCTGCTGTTCTTTGTGATTTCCTTTGTATAGGAGATATAGTGTGTGTGTGTGTGTGTGTGTGTGTGTGTGTAACCGATATTGTGGAGTTTTACTGATATACATGCAATGGGGATATAGGAGACCAGATGTTGTCCCCTGAGACTGTCACACCTGTATATTTCAACATACAACATACATCTTTTCTAGGTGTGGGCAATTTAATTGTGTGTCTCTATGGTGACTTTTTTATTGTACAAAGGGTGGAGTTAAGGAGCTTAGTGGTTTGCAATTAAATAGCCTACTGCATATTGCACCATATACACTGAAACACTGAATTTTAATTTTTTTAAATAGTATGTGAACTGATAGACATTATACAATGGTAAACATTTTTTAAAGTAGTGTTAATAACGAAGTATTCAGTTAAAAAGACAATAACTGTATCCACTATAAGGTTGTCACCTGTTTAATTCTGTGAGTGACATGTAGTCATCTCAGACATAAAAAACTATTCTGAATATCATGGTTTCCATAAGCATATCAAGCAGCAGAACTGTTTTTATGTTTCCTGAGCAGCAAATCAGTATATCCGAATGATTCTGAAGGATCATGTGACACTGAAGACTGGAGTAAGGAGGCTGAAAATTCAGCTTTGCATCAAAGAAATAAATTTTCTTTTAAAATATATTCAAATCGTAAACAGTTATTTTTAATTGTAATAATATTTCACAATTTACTGTATTTTTGATCAAATAAATGCAGCCTTGGTGAGCAAGAGACTTTTCGCGATAAATGCTGACTCAATGAATACAGGGTGGAGGGTTTTGACTGACAGAGCTAAATGAGGATGACCCAGAGAATGAGTCAGACGCTGAAGATCAGAAGGCAATCGCTAAAGTGTGCTCCGCCTAAGCCTCCCGGGTGCACCTGTTTGCCCCACAGGTTCCAGGAGTTAAACTGATGTCAGTGTTGAGTTGATTTATGGGGAGATTTGGGTAGAGAGATAACTTCTTCCATGTCTTAAGCTGAACTTGAAGCTTAAGAAGTTCAGGCATGTGTGTTAAAGTCTTAGAGGAGATCTAGAGGGCAGCGGAGGGTTAATAGACTGTGGATGGGGTTGGTTAGTATGGTTGGCTGTAGCTCATTTGAAGTGAGGCTCTGGAACACTTGCTCTGACTGTGGCTGGGTGTTAATGAAGGATTAAACTGCCGCTCCTTCCATATGTGTGCACTCAGTAGTACTCAAATGAGTGAACGTGAAAAGTCTGCGTGTTGTATATGTTTATGTGCAGGACTGGATGGAACATTGTAGAAACTGATGAGAGTGAACTTGTCAGAAGTAGTGCTGTCAAATGATTAATCGCGATTAATCACATACAAAATAAAAGTTTTTGTTTGCATAATATATGTGTGTGTACTGTGTATATGTATTATGTACGGTATATATAAACACACACATACAGTATATATTTTGAAAATATTTACATGTATTTACATGTTTATATTTATATTCATACCATTTATATTCTAAATAAACATTTAATATATAAACATAACATATTTTTCTGAAATATATACTGTTTGAGTGTGTATTTATTTATATATACATAATAAATATACACAGTACACACACATATACTATGTAAACAAAAACTTTTATTTTGGATGCGATTAATCACGATTAATCGTTTGACAGCACTAGTCAGAAGTTTTATTTTATGATCTTGTGATACATTTTTAAAACTTCTTATGGATGTTACGCAAAGGCCCGTTCTCACCAAGATGAATGTTCAGAGCGAAAATTCAGTAACACTTTACAATAAGGTTCAGTAGTTAACATTAGTTACTACTACTAGTTCAGTTAACATGAACTAAGCATGAACAGCATGTATTCATCTTAGTTAATGTTAATTTCAACATTTACTAATGCATTATTAAAATTAAAAATTGTGCTAGTTAACATCAGTCAGTCAGTCGTGGCCTAATGGTTAGAGAGTCGGACTCGTAACCCAAAGGTTGTGGGTTCGAGTCTCGTACCGGCAGGGATTGTAGGTGGGGGGAGTGAATGTACAGCGCTTTCTCCCACCTTCAATACCACGACTGAGGTGCCCTTGAGCAAGGCACCGAACCCCCAACTGCTCCCCGGGCGCCGCAGCAAAAAAAAATGGCTGCCCACTGCTCCGGGTGTGTGTTCACAGTGTGTGTGTGTTCACTGCTGTGTGTGTGCACTTTGGATGGGATAAATGCAGAGCACTAATTCCGAGTATGGGTCACCATACTTGGCCACATGTCACGTTACGTCATTAGTTAATGCACTATGAACTAACAATGAACCACTATATTTTTCATTAACTAACATTAACAAAGATTAATAAATGTATTGTTCGTTGTTTGTTCATGTTAGTTAATATGTTAACTAACATTAACTAATGGAACCTTATTGTAAAGTGTACAATTGTATGTAAACATACAAAAATTCACCTGCAGTCACTGCTGTTACATGAAACCATGACTTAGTGGTGCTCACAAACAGACTATTTTGCTAAACGACGGTGAATAGCAAAGGACGAATATGGACTCTTATTGGACTCTTGTATTTCGTGGTGTTTTATGAACATCTTAGCAATTACAAAAATGTAAAAGGCCTTAAAAGCACCGACTGTAACATTTCTGTTCCAGCTGTGGCATTTGTTCAATCCGATCCGAGAAAATGTAACTATTTTATGATTTGATGATTTAGTAGGAATTTTTATCATTTGATTCATACAAACATGTACATTTTTTTAGCAAAAATAAGCAGATTGTATGAATTATCCGCCATGGATTTGTTCAAGGTATGTTGAATATAACGATTTATAGGATATTTAGATGTATTATTTTGATTCATGGTTCATTATTAGAAATCTATAAATGCTTTTTCGTTTTTATTCGATGCTCATTATTGATGATTATCATTTCCGTATGGTGTATGTAACGTGTGTAGCTGTTCTTTACTGTCTGCTGTGTAGCTTTATGATGATACGTGTGTGAATGCAGCCACCAATGAGCAGACCGCTGAGTCCCAGTTAATTCGATTAGCTGTTCAGATGATGGAGGAAAATTTAGCAAGCGGGAAGAATTGAACCCTTTCAGACTCTCAGGTTTTAAAGACTCTCTCGATCTCCCTAATTCACCCTTTTCCTGGAAGCAGCAAGGTCAGTGAGAAGTTTAGACACTTGAATAAAAGCTCTTGCGTGGCTCATTTGAGGCCCATGGACATGAAGTACTTTAGTATTTGCATATAGTGGCCCCTCAAGATTGAGACAGAAAGAGGACAAGAGTGATTCTCATGAAACTAACCTTCAAACATGGCAGGGGGAAATTCTGTTCTGAAACATTAACAAAATAAATATACATAATATATACATATGTACTAATATACACATTTTCTTCACATAAATGTAACAAAATAATTAGTTTTATTTGAAAATTGCTCAAATAGCATATAAAAGCAACATATAAATAGCATGTAAAATAGCATCAAAAGCATATAGCAAGTTTTAGGTTTTAAGGTATAAACTTGTATGATTTGGTCATTAACCCGTGATTTGTCTTTTATGTCAGGCTTCAGTGTGACTGCCAGCACAACACTTGCGGGCCATCATGTGATCGCTGTTGCCCCGGCTTCAACCAGTTTCCATGGAAACCAGCCACGACTTACAGTGCCAATGAATGTGAACGTGAGTTTTCCTCTCTCTGCATCCAGTGAGCCAACAAAACAAAGATATAGTACCTGCCGGGCCCCTCCTTGACACATTGTTCACAAAACATGATTTCTCTCCTGTGGGAGATTCTTTTTTTCGTTCTTTCTTGATGGCCGGACAGCATTTTCTTTATTCTTTCTAACAGTGCTGTTATGTATTAATAGACATGACATTTATGTATTGTGTATTTATGTATTAATAGACATGGCATGTAACCACTAAGTATGAGTGTGACTTTCAGAAAGTTCAGAAATGTTCAGAATCTTAGTGGCATGTGGCGCCATGCTGGATTTCCGATCAGCGAGAGAGAGTGGGTAGAGATACGTCCGGTTTTCCTAAACACCAGTGCAGAGAGCCGGAGAAACCCCAATCCTAACTTTTATATGTTTACAGGATTTATAATATCACTTAAAATACAACGAAGATCTACTTTGCTATCATTACTATACTATATATGTTAATTGAGCCAGTGGCGTTTAAAACTTGTGTAATGAAATACACGAATCCATACTGTTCGCGAAATGAAAGTTGCCTTGAATTCATGGTGCGTACACATACACAATGTCTTTTTCCCTTAGCAATTAATTGTACAAATGATCGTAAATACACAAACATGCTAAATAACTAAACACATTTTAAAATATAAAACATTTGAAAACAATCAAAACATAACTTTAGACAATATTAGCCTTTAAAACAAGTAAACATTACATTGCATCTTGACCTATCAATATCAATAAATATATTATTTCTCGAAAATGTAAAAATATACTGTGCGCTCTGCTTATAGACACCAGACAGATAATTATGATTCATGCAACAGATGCCTATAAACTCATTTGCACAAAACAGAGAATATTAATAAAAACACACAGGGAAATACAAACACGGATCTTTTAATAAATGCAAACCTAGTCCATGATCTCTGTCTTGTCTGGTGATCCTTTCACATACTTAATCACACAAGTTTCTCTACCTACATTCTCTGGTTTTTATCATTTCAACTTGTGACATTCTAACAAATGTAAAAGACTATGTGACTGTCATTGTACTCATATTCCACATTGTTGTGGTATTATATATTTTTCTTGAATTTCTAGTGAACTGTCCAGGGACATTTTAACTCTATTGGCAAGTGGATAAAGAAAAGCATTTAGCAAAAGGACAGAGTAAAACAACTGACAAATGCTTTTTTTGAAACTATTTAAAATGTGGCTTTCAAAAATAAAAAAAAGTATTATTTATTATTTTATTGTCTTATTTAACTACATTTTAAAACATGAATTAAAATATGTCTATTTTTGTCAAATCAAAAACATAATGTATTAATTTATAGTTACTTAACTACATTTTTAAAAACAATTCAGTTTTGATTTGTCTATTTAAAAAGTGATTATTATACATTTTAATTGAAAATTTGGCTTTCAAAATTTATATAACTATGTGTGTGTTAGTTTATTGTGGTATTTAACTACATTTAAAAACATTTAAAATTTGTCTAAAAGTGTGTGTGTATTTTATTTGATAAATATTTTAGTTTGATTTATTAAACTGATCATTTATTCTATTTTTTTAAGGAGCAATCCTAGTCCTCCAAGTAAAAGTGGCTACCTGATACCTTTATAAACGTAAATACATATTAGCCTTTTAGACCGCAGATTGGTTTTGTTGTGCGAGGATGTTTTGGTTGATATTCTTGATTATGCGATGATGTTTATAGGTTCAGTTTAGGATCAGTGTAGTCTCTGCTTTAGTAAGACATCAGAGTCAGTGTGAATAAGAGAGGCTGGCAGTCTATGTGAACCACTCCAGCCCACCCCACAATGCTTTTAAGAGACTCACTCTCTGGGTGTTTGTCTCTGTATTGGGAGCCATTGTTGGATATCCGCGGTTTTTTTAGCTAATCTAATCTCTGAATTCCCAAATATATAACCACTCCTTTGTGTGGAGAGAGACCTCAGTGAGGTTTATGGCACATCTGTGAGCAGAGTTGGCTTGAGAGACTGTCCCATCTGACAGAACTGTTTCATCTCACGTCGGGTCACCGTGTCCTCACCCTGCCGTCAGTGAACTGGACCCTAACAAAGCACAGCCATTCCACACCGCCTGTCCTGTCAAAGACTCCACTGTGAGACAGGAAAAACACATGATCAGTAGTTCTGAGAGCTTTCTGTAGCCTGCTGGTATTCATTTTTTAAATAGTGAATTTGTCCTAATACTGTGAGATTTCGCCAATTACAGCTGATTCAAGTGTTAACATTTTGTCTATGGATATTAGTGATGGACTTCATAGCCGCAATCAAAATTCTGAAACTGGAATTAGCCTTAATTTGAAGTAATTACCAATTCTTTTAATGTAAATAAATAAATAAATCTTTCTAAAACTTTTTTTTTAACAATTACCCATTTTTTTTAAAATAAGTAAATAATTAAATAAAAAATATTTAAAAAAAATTTTTAATACGTTGGTAACTGTATTCATCAACCAATATTAAGAAGAGTGTCAAATCTGCAATTTTTCGTTAGTATTGTTTATCATCTGCTACATCTAATACCAAATTACCAATTTTATTGTAGTAATAACTAAAAACTAATGTTTTGGTCACCATGGTACATTTGTGTAAGTGTATGCACAATTATTTTATTTTGTCAATATGTTTTAACTTGTATTTCCAGCTACGATCTCTCGTTTTCTCCTTGCTAATGATTCTTTTCTCTTTCTTTTTCCCTTCTCTGCTGTCATTCCTCTCGGGACAGTCTGAACTCTTCAGGTGGACACTGATGTGTGTGTGTGTCTCTGAGTATTTTATATCTGTCCTACTTGTATATTGTACATCTCTGCACTGACAGATGAGTTATTAACCTCAGCGTGTTTCATCTTCAGGCTGATTATATAGTGGCGTAACTGTGTTGTGTGTGTGTTTGCAGCATGTAACTGCCACAGACACTCATCAGAGTGCTACTATGATCCAGAGATCGACCAGCGGAGAGCCAGTCTCAACATGCAGGGACAATACAGGGGCGGAGGAGTGTGCATCGAATGCCAGGTGGGCTCAGCTGTACAAACACACTAATAACACGAAAGTGGTACAGATACATTGACTGTGGCTCAAAACCTACCTAGACAGCATGGGCAACATAAATGCATACAACATTTGTGGGCGGCCGTCAAATACACACTCACTAGGTTTGGAAACAGCTGTTGATGTTTTTGCAAGTACATCCTATGATTTTTATTCTTTCACAGCATCACACCACAGGCTTCAACTGTGAGCGCTGCATTCCTGTGTACTACAGATCACCTGATCATCCTCTGGAGTCCCCATTCGCCTGTTCAAGTGAGTCTCCAGTCATACACACTTAACACAGTATTGTTTTAGTATTATTTATATAATGTTATAATATATATTATTTTTATGAACTTTTATTTATTTATTTATTTTTTACATTTTAGTTTATGTAATTATGTTAATTTATTTTTTGTAATTAATTAATTAATTTTTTTTGCCATTTTAGTATTTGGTTTGTAACTTATTAAAGTTATTTCATTTCTGAAATGTTGCCAAAACAATATTTATATAATGTGTGTTTACATTTTTCATCTACTTCCATTAATGAAAATAATTTTTAATCATTTTAGTTTTAGTTAATAACAACATTTCTGGTCATACATAAATATGAATGAAAATTGAACTGTACTGTATGCATGCATACTGATACTGATAAAGCATGTTCCTTTCTTTTGCTTGTTTTTCCATGATTCTCTCATGTGTTTTGCAGAGTGTCAGTGTGAGTCTGAGTTCACTGATGGCACATGTGAGGATCTGACCGGACGCTGTTACTGTAAACCCAATTACACTGGCGAGAACTGTGACACGTGTGCGGAGGGCTACGAAGGCTTCCCTGAATGCTACCGTAAGTCTCTGTGTATCTTTGAAGCTTTCATGAAGGTTTCAGGCAGTATATTTCAGCTGAATTCATCCAGCGTGGAAAATTATCTCTAAACAGCTATCAAACAAGTAATTAGTATATATGTGTAAAGAAATTCTCCTTGTTAATTATACAATTTGTTTGCTTGTGTTTATTACTGTCAGAGGGGTACATCACTGGAGAGGCCAGACCTGCAGGGGAAATCATCAGTAAGATTTGATTTGATTCATCTTGATTCAAATTTTTTTTATTCACCCTGATTTCATTCTAATTCTTATTCATTGATTTCTCATACATTTTATGTTACGTTCTTGTGTTGTGCAGATTGCGAGTGCAGTGCTGCAGGTACAGAAGGGAACTCCTGCAGGCCAGACCCTCGCACCAATACATGTGTGTGTAAACCTGAATTCACTGGAGAACACTGTGACACCTGCGCTCCTGGTCACTTCGGCCTCAACTGCCAGCGTAAGGACACACACACACACACACAGGTTTGTTTTTGTGAAAAGTGGGGACATCCCATAGGCGTAATGGTTTTTCTACTGTACAGACCGTATATTCTATTGCCCTACACCAACCCTACCCCTAAACCTACCCCTCACAGGAAACTTTGTGCTGTTTCAGATTTTCAATACACTCCATTCTGTGTGATTTATAAGCGTTTTGAAAAGTGGGGACATGGGGTAATGTCCTGAAAAGTCACCTTCTCCTTGTAATACCTATGTCATACCCTTGTCATTATACAAATTTATGTCCTCATTTGTCACAAAAACACGCACACACACACACACACACACACACACTCTCTGTAGGGATTGCCCCTTTAAAATGTTACTGCCACTGACATCACATGATTATAAATATTTTAAATAAATAAATAAACAAAAATATCTGAATGTACTAAATAATATTTAGTAAATGTTTTATTACTCTTTTATGACTCTAATTGTCACTGAGTTAATTACAGTGATATTTTAATGTTAGTACATTGTTTGTTGTTTTATTATATATATGTGTGTGCCTGTCCATCGTTAAGTCCCAGATCAGATCAGCTGTCCCATTCTGCCCATTTTTGTCTTTCCTGTGTAATACACTGCAGCAGGTGACATCTGAGCAAACACATGCAGATTGTCGCATCAGTGTTTGTCTGTCTGCTGAACTGCTGTTGATCTTGTGCATAGTTGGAGTGTTTTGGAGCACAGTATACCACCCAATGACAAAGGCAATGCAAACATGCCCACATTCTAGCTCTTCTCCCTTCCCCCCAGGCTGTCAATGTTTTGGCCAGGGCTGTCTGGATGGGTCCTGTGATGCAGTAACGGGCCAGTGTGTGTGTCGGAGCGGGTTTCAGGGGTATTCATGCGAGCAGTGTGCGCCTGGCTACTTCAACTACCCACTGTGCCAATGTGAGTGCTTGCCAACTCTAATCTCACTAAACTTCAAAATCCCCCATGATTATTGCCAAACCGTGAACTTTACACTACAGCCACAATAACTGTTTCCTGCTCTTTTACTGCACTGTTTAAGGTCAGTATGAATTTATAATCGACCCTATTTACTTTCTTAACACACATTGTTGGTCTTATTGTTTGATTCATCAGTGCCTCTTCATTTCAGTCACTCTTTCTGCAGTTTACATCATTACACCAGTAGGTGGCGTCAAGCGACTATCTGTATGAAGGAGTCATTTGAATCGTTCTCTCAACCAAATAGATTTGTATAAAAACACTGATACATTCAGGAACAAATTCATTCAAAAACACAGATTTATTCTGAAACAAAACAAGTGACTGTCTTTATGAGTGAGTCAATTGAATCATTCTCTCAACCAAATAGATTTGTTTCATTCAGGAACAAAAAAGTGACTTTCTTTATAAGTGAGTCATTGAATCGTTCACTCATCCAAATTGATTTAAAAAAAAAAAACCTCTCAATCATTCAGGAACAAACAAGAGAATGTCTTTATAAGTCACTGAATTTTTTACTCAGCTTTAAAACTCTGAATCTTTTAGGCAAAATTGTGTCTACTATGCAAGCTCGTCAATATTGACTATTAACATTCTCATTAAATGTCCTTTTTCACTTGGACATTTGTCACATTACAGAAGTAAAATGGATTGCGAAAGCATTTCTTGTTGACTTCAAAACGATTAACATTTGATTACATTTGATTCTCTCTCTCTCTCTGTAGATTGCGGTTGCAGTGATGTGGGCTCTATGCCTGAGATATGCGATGCGGCCGGTCAGTGTTTGTGCAGGCCAGAGTTCACTGGTCCTCGCTGTGATCAGTGTCGCTCAGGGTTCCACTCATATCCAAACTGCCAGGGTGAGACACACACACACACACACACACACACACATTAAAGAAAGGCTCAGTCTGATGTTTGCAGACACTGTCTGTATTATCTCTTTTTCTGATTCTATTTGCCAGTGTGCACTTGTGACTCTCGCACATCTTTGGAATCCAGCTGTACCTTGTCGGGTCAGTGTAGCTGCAGACCCAACTACAGTGGCCCCAAATGTGACCAGTGTGCACCCGGATATTACTCCTATCCCAGCTGCACACGTAAGTCACATGACTCTCATCACAGGGCAACACTACCAAGGGAAAGATTGTCTGCGGTAACGGGTGATTTGAAATTGAAATCTCTCTGTTTCAGCATGTCATTGTTCAGTGGAGGGCTCTCGCTTCAGCTCCTGTGATCCAGTGTCTGGTCAGTGTGTTTGTCTGCCAAACATTGTGGGTCAGAGGTGTGATAGCTGCAGTCCTGGGTCATATGGCTTCCCCCTCTGCCAAGGTGATCTAACTCAAACCAGTTGCGCAAACAATATTCATGGTCCTGTGTATTAGATTCGTTTAAAGTAGTTCTGATGGTTTTCTTTTCCTCTCTGTGCTCTAGTCGGGACCTGTAACCCAGCAGGCTCTGTTCATAATAACATCCTGCCCACTGTGGTGAGTATAACTGAGCTTTCTACATTAAACAAGGCCACGTTCAGAATGGAGTTCTAGCATAAAGCATATTGTGCTGTAAATTATTCATGCTGTTCATACTGTGCATATCATACTATATACTGCACATATGTTGAATATTTTGTGAATGTATCAAAAGATTATGTGAAACAACAGTGTGCAGTATGTAGCAGTTAAGCAGTCAAAGATAAGATTTTGTTTTTTGAAAAAAAAGTAATACTTATTTTCAGCAAGGATGCATTGCATTGATCAAAAGTGACAGTTAATGCGTTTATAATGTTACAAAAGATGCATTTTTCTTTTTAACTTACTATTCATAAAAGAGTCCTGAAAAAGGTTTCCACAAAAATATTAAGCAGCACAACTGTTTTCAACATTGATAATAATAAGAAATGTTTCTTGAGGAGCATATCATCATATTAGAATGATTTCTGAAGTTTGTCATCACAGGAATAAATTACATTTTAAAATATATTTCAAACATTACTTTAAATTGTAAAAATGTAAACAGTATTACTGTTTTTACTTTATTTAAAATGTACCCCAAACTTTTGAAAGGTAGTGTATGTGTGATAGACACGACAAAAACATTTGCATATTGTACTGTTCAGAGTGTACACTGCTGTCCAAGTACATTGATATTTTTTAATTACCGCTGTAAATGAGGATCTTGGACACAAACATTAATTCCTATTCCAGACTCTCAGTGCTTGTTTTGTGTTCCTCAGGGCTCCTGCGAGTGTCAGCCTCATGTAGAGGGGGTGGCCTGTGATCGCTGTAAGCCTCTCTACTGGAATCTTTCTCCTGATACAGACTATGGATGCTCAAGTAAGAGAAACGTTTGGACACACAGTGCAAAATGACTGCCATTTTCTTAGCTTTGGTGACAAATCAGACTTTGGTGGCAATGTACTGTAATTTTCAAATCTGTAGCTTGTTAGTTAAATTGTATATAAAATAAAACAGATTAATTATCTCTGCTAATGTATATTATGATTGATTTTGCAGGCTGTGACTGTAATACATTAGGAACTATGAGTGAGGTTGCAGAGTGCACACAGGTATGGAAATATCAATAATAACTCCATCTTACAACTGCAATTCAAGAGTGTAGTAAACAAACCTCCATCTGTGTGTAAATCAGAGCACCGGCCAGTGTTACTGTAAACCTAACGTGTGCAGCGGCACATGTAATGTGTGCAAGGATGGATACTTCAGCCTTCAGAAGAACAACTACTTTGGGTGCCAAGGTACAAAATCAGTTCCAAGCAGACATTTTTAAATACTGAAATGAAGAGATGGGTTAAACTCTCACCCCTGCGTGCATGTAGGCTGCCAGTGTGACATTGGAGGCTCCGTTGGGCAGGCGTGTAATGAGAGGCACGGGCGGTGTCGATGCAGACCCAGCGTGGAGGGACCCAAATGCAACCAGTGAGTGACGGGGAAAAGCACACACAGATATAGCAGACAGTGTGCAGTAATCACTTGACTCTGATGTGTTTGTTTAGACCCCGGCCAGATCATTACTTCCCAGACCTGCACCATATGAAGTTTGAGGTGGAGGAAGGCACCACTATGGATGGACGTCCAGTGAGGTTTGGTTACAATCCTCTGGAGTTTGAGAGCTTCAGCTGGAGGGGATATGCCCAGATGTCCCCCATGCAGGTACACAAACACACACACTTATGTTTGCACCTTGAAATCAATTTATTATATTACTGAATTGTAAATAATAGTAACAAATTGTTATAATAATAATAATAATAAAGTAATGTTAATAAAAACTACAATAACAAGTACAAGAGTCATAATAATAATAATAATGTATTATCATTAATAATACTATTAGTAATAATCTAAAATAATAATTATTATTTATTTTAATTATAACAACAACACTATTAAATGGTAAATAATAATAAAAAATATTATTATTATTATTATTGTTGTTGTTTTGTAATAATTATCATTAGTATTATTTAAAATAATCTAGAATTATAATAATAACAATAATGATCCAATAATATTAATAATAAAAACTACAATAACAACAACAACAATAACTATTATTATATGTTAAGGTTATTAATAATAATAGTCTCTAATAATAATAATAATAATAAACATTTATAAAACAACAACATATTGAATGATTAATAATAATAATACAAAACTGCTATAATGATACAATCTAATATATTGATAATAAAATTATATAAACAACAGTAATAATTATAATTCTTATTAATATTGTTAATATTTGCAATAATAATAAATCTATTACAACGACAGTTATAACAATAATAATAAGAAACAGAGCAATTCCAATAAGGTCCTCGCACTGCAGTGCTCGGGCCCTAATTATTATCATCATCATCATAATCATCATTATTATTATTATTATATTAGTACATATTATTAGATATTACATATTATATATTGTAGCAATTTGAGTATTTACTTTTTTGTAAAGCACTTTTTTCTTGTTGGATATCCTGTTTCACTCAGATATATGTCACTTTACAGAAGTAAAATATGTTATTAATGCTGTTTCATGTTGAAGATACTATGAAAATAATGATGTTAATTATTATAGAACTGAATATTATGAATGAATATTATGAATAACTGTGAATATAATGAATATTACTTATTTTAACTTTCAAATTAATTTATAAAAAATTTGTATTGTCATTATTATCATTTTGTAGATATTCAAGATGTTTAAGTTGATGCATGTGTGTAAAATTAGACTGAGATGTAGCGCTGTGTGATGTGTGATTGAAATACACTGTGTCTTTGGCTTGGCTGAGGGCTTCGATCATGGCTTTTGATTGGTGCTGCTTGTGTGCATTGGCTGCTGTGTTGGGCTGTAGTGCTGGTTGGTGGTGGCTTTGAGCAACGGCTTTGCATTTGTCTCTCTTTCTGTGTCTCTGTTGTGGGCCGCTCTCTTGCTCTCTAGCCTCGGGTTCTGGTTGAGGTGGTGGTTGGCTCTCCAGACCTGTTTCATGTGGTCTTGCACTATATGAACCGTGGGGGCGTGGACGTGAGGGGGCGGGTCTCTGTGATCGAGGATGGCAGACACTTCCTGTGTGAGAATTGTAAGTTTTTCACCCTTCTGTTTTAATGATCTGCTTTTCTCCATCTTTCTACCTTCCACACTTAAATCCTTTGCTCTCTGATCTGGTGACTTCCTGCTCTTTTCACAAACCCTTCCTCTTCCCCCCATGTTCAAGACACACTCTCACCGCAACCTGCATCTCAGATCACACCCATCTTGATCAGAAAGCCACAGTGCAGGTCTTTAACACAGACCATGTTATGTGCTGTACACCCTCCCCTCCTCTTCTCCCTGTCTTCCTTGTCCTCCATCTCAGAATACGGTTAAAATGATGGTGCACGTGCGTGAAGCAGACGTGTATCTCACGCGCTTCATCCTCAGATATGTAAACACGAGGTTGGCCGTGTCGAACGGTAAAATCACAGCCTATCAGAACAGCAGAAGAGGTATGCCTGATGGTTCAATGTGCAGGACTTTCATTCTTTCGGTGAACCCAAAGGAGAGCTCATTGGTCATTTCATTGGCTTTGCCATTTTCGTTGAGACTTATGAATTTTACTTAATTTTATTATTTTACTTAATTTTTTTATTTGATTTTATTTGACAGAATAATAGAGAATAACAATACTGCTCTATTTATTATTTTAGCTAATTTGGTGCATTTGTCCGATTAAGCTTTTACTAAGAATCTAAGAAATGTATAACACGTAAATATTATACATATATGTAATAAATACACACTCAGCAAATAACCAATTGTGTAAACCCTAAACAAGCTATTACACAAAAGCAATAACTTTTTTATAGCTGCAATTTTTTTTAAATTCTGTTTATATTTTTAATTCTATTGATAAATAATTCCATAACTGTACTTCTTTTCTCCTGTACCCCTTGATATGCTACAGTTGTAACTTGTTGCATAGTAATTGCCCTTTCCTCTTGTTTTGGTATTAATTTACAAAATTATTTACACATTTGGACAGGATTCTTCCATCCCATTTTACTTTCATTGAATGGAAAAGAGCAGCTCGGACATTCTGCTAAACTTCTCCTTTTGTGTTTCACAGAAAAAATGAAAGTCCTTATGAGTAAATGATGACAGCTTTTCATTTTAAATAAACTATTCTTTTAGTACAACAGTTGATATCTTGATAATGTTTAATAATGAATAAATATGTAACTTTGTAGTTTTATTGATTCATCCAGTGCTGTGACTCCATCCCCATGAAACAGGTCTCCATCTCCATCCTTCTGTTTGCAGGCTCTGAGCAGTCCAAACAGATCGTATTTGCACCCACTTCAGAACCCACATTTGTGAACGTGCCTCAGAACAGTTTTGTGGAGCCATTTGTCTTGAACCCAGGAACCTGGACTGTGATTATAGAGGCGGAGGGCATTCTGCTGGTAGGACCCCCTCTTAAAGAGACTCTCTGCATTATTCCTGCATAAACACACCCTGAACACATTCTCTGTCTCTTTCTCTCTGCAGGACTACCTGGTGCTGTTGCCCAGTGCATATTACGAGGCTCCTATCCTGCAACTTCAAGTGACTGAACCCTGTTCATACAGCAACACACAGGATGCCAGTCAAAAGTCAGTAGTACAGCAACTTTTTGTGTACATATGTGTATACTTGTTAAATGCAACGTGACTGGGGTAATAATCTGTCTTTTGGTGTGTTCAGCTGTCTGCAGTATATGTATCTGTCTCTGGATGAGTTCCCATCCATCTCCAGCAATAATGCCCAGTGCAGGGCTGATAATCACCTGCCCAGACCCTGCCACACTGAAAAGATCACTCCTCGCCATCCCAGCATGGCCATCTGCAGCGGCAATGATGTAAGCATGTGCACACTCATTTAAAAAGTGTAAATATGTTCTCATCTTTTTTTCTTTTTTGAAAGAACTTAATACTTTTATTTAGCACGAATGCATTAAATTGATAACAATTGACAGTAAAGACATTTATAATGTTACAAAGAATTCTATTTCAAATAAATGCTGTTCTTTTAAACGTTCTATTCATCAAAGAATCCTGAAAATATATATCAAGGTTTCCACAAAAATATTAAGCAGAACAACTGTTTTCAGCATTGATGATAAGGAATAAATCTTGAGCAGCAAATCAGTATATTAGAATGATTTCTGAAGGATCATGTGACACTGAAGAAGACTAATGATGCTGAAAATTCAGCTTTGATCACAGGAATACATTACATAAATTTAAATTGCATTACAATAGAAAACATTTATTTTTAAATTGTAATAATATGTTTTTTTTATTGTATTTTGATTCAGATGAATGCAGCCTTGGTGACCAAACATTAAAAAATCTTACTGAACCCAAACCTTAGAACAGTAGTGTATTAATACATAAAAATCATATTTTTATACAAATAAAATCCTATTTGTGCATTCAGATGAAAGTTCAGCTGCGTGGTCGTGTTCCTGTTCCTGGAGAGTATGTGTTGGTGGTCGAGTACGCCAGTGAAGACCAATTCCCGCAAACGTTTAAAGTGTCTGTCAACTCACTGGGTGAAACCACTCATCAAGAGGAAATAACACTGCTCCACTGCAAATACAGGTGTGTTTGTGTGACATTGCAGCATTTGCCTTTTCTTTTGTTCTTCAGGTATTCACACTCAACTTGAACGGGTCATATTCTGTATTTTGGTTTATGTCTGCTGTTTGTTTTTGCATCAAACGAGTCATGTTTTGTTTGCATTTCACATAGAATTAAACATGCTGTTTTTGATACCATACCTTTAAGACTTTTATATGACCTCTTTTATGATTGGCTATGCGGTTTGGTTGTAAAATGCATGTAAAATTTGTCCTATTTAATGTTTTAATGTAACATCACAAGTTTTAATGAAGCATTTTCTATATTCATCATTCTTTATGAAGCATGGAGATTGCCGTTTAATTCTTCAATTGGTCTTTTTCGCTTTTCTTCATTTTTCTCCATCAAACGAGTCATGTTTTGTTTGCATTTCACATAGAATTAAACATGCTGTTTTTGATACCATACCTTTAAGACTTTTATATGACCTCTTTTATGATTGGCTATGCGGTTTGGTTGTAAAATGCATGTAAAATTAGTCCTATTTAATGTTTTAATGTAACATCACAAGTTTTAATGAATCATTTTTCTATATTCATCATTCTTTATGAAGCATGAAGATTGCCGTTTTATTCTTCAATTGGTCTTTTTCGCTTTTCTTCATTTTTCACTGCATTTGCTGATTGATTTGTGTTTATGTCTTTCTGTGTATGTGTGTGTAGTTTCCTGTGCCGTGCGGTGTCTGTAGATGACAAGAAGCGCGTGGCGGTCTTTACTCTCTCCACAGAGGCTGATATCCAGCTTAGCACAGACAGAAGCAGTTTTTTCCTCGTGAGAGACTTTTTCTGCTTGAATCTGCCATAATGTCTGTTTGTGTCCACTGTAAACATGCCATTTACAAGTGTGTGTCTGATTTCCCTTCCAGCACAAAGTGTTCCTCGTCCCTCGCGCGCAGTTCACCATGGAGTACCTGAAGCCCAGAGTTCACTGCATCAGCACACATGGACACTTCTCTCCAGACAGGTGACTGATACACACAACATGTGAATCTTGAACTGAGTCTTTTGTGTTACATCATGCGCCATTACACTCCAACACTTGTTTTGTAGATTATTTTTGTTTATTTCAGTTTTTATTGTTTGGTGTACTAATCATTTTATTTTATTTCATTGTATTGTTTTTTATTGTGTACAGTTTTTCTAACAATCATTTTACCTAAAAGAAAATTCTTTCACTGCCTTGCAAGCACTGACCTTTCTGGAAATCACATTTAGTTATTTTCCAGCCATTTTTTTTTTCAAATTATGACATTTGACTTTCCTACATATTTACAATTAAAAGTACCTATGATCATGAGCCATTTACATGATTTCTAGGTATTTTAGGTATCAAAGTGAAGTATATCCGTATGTATTTATCACAATAGGGTTTATCCTATTTATGTTCATGTTTTATATTCTCTGTTTTCCAGTGGCTCCTGCATCCCGTCTCGTTTCCAGAATCCTCCTCAGTCTCTGGTCCTAAAAGAGGGTCAGGCTTCTTCTGTGCCGGGTTCGATTATAGCTTCAGCCCCTGATCCATCCCTGCATGCAGACAGGCCCATGACCTCCAGACCGCCAACCGCTGCTGATAACAGTGAACACATGCTTCTGGACCCTAATCAGGTACATCAGGCCCATTACACTCTCATTGCTTTCTTACTGTTTCTTCCTTTAAAAGAACCTTTCCCCCTCCATTTATCCATCCAGTGCCCCTGTCTTGAAGTTTGTATCTTTCTGATACTTAAATGCTAATACAAAAGCATGTCTGCAAGTCTTCTGATGTTCATTTGTCTGCTTCCTTTCCCAGAACGCTGTAACGTATTCAACACGTGTACATGCGCTGGGCCGTTATGGGTTCATCCTGCATTACCATCAGCCCCTGCACCCAACTTACAACGTCCAGGTCCACATCAATGGAGGACGCATATGGCAGGGTGAGCAAATAGATGAACACAGACTCACTATTGACTTGAGCTTCTGTTTTATCACTGAAAATGCTTTTTTACTAACAGTCACTCTTTGTATTCCAGGCCACGTCAATGCATCCTTTTGTCCCCATGGTTACGGTTGTCGTGGTGTTGTCATGTCAGAGAACCAGATTATCCTGGACGTGACGGACTATGAGGTCATCCTGACCCTGCGTGTTCCAGACAGGAAGACATTGTGGCTGGTGAGTGTCATGATGACGTTTTACTAAAGGTGAAATGAATTGACAATAACAGTGACACTTCTTTTTCTCTTGTGTGTTTTAGGACTATGTGCTGGTGGTGCCAGAGAGCACTTACAGCTCCAGCTTTTTGACTGAGGAGCCACTGGACAAATCTTACGACTTTATCAGCAACTGTGGACAAAACAGCTTTTACATCAAGTATGATACTTATACATTTGTAAAAATGTAGGAATGCATGATTTGAAAATTCAGGGTGATAATTATATTCATGTAATGGCCTTAAATAGGCCATAAATAAGTAAATACATCGCAGATATTAATTACTGATTAAAATTCAGTCCAATTGTGACTAAATAAATATAAAAATGAAACACTTAAAACACATACACAGCATTATTTAAATTTTTTTAATTATTTTTACTTAGGTAAAACTATTAAAAATTGTTTTCGGTGATTGAAATAAAGCTGAAATAATATAAAATATACATATTAGATGAAAAGCTTATGCTTAAAAAACGAAAATTAGAAATGTTTCCTTGGATACTAGTTTAAGTACTAAAACTAAAACTTAAATAAAACTAAATTAAAGCTTGATAGAAATATTAAAAATAATAATAAAAAATAACAAAAGCACTAACAAAATTATTAAAACTTAAATTTAAAAAGAAAACTGAAAATATAAAAATACTAATAGTACTAAATACTATAATAGTATAGAAATAATATTAAAACGATACTAATAATACTAAAAAGCACTTTACATCAAAACATAATGTACAGTATGAAAATTTTATTTTGTAATGTATAGTATGATATTTAATTTAATATTTGCTAAAGATCACGTTGAAGTGTTATTGAAATATTAGTGCTTTCAAAGTATTAAAGTTTAAGTTTAAGTTTAATAAAAACAATTAAATAAATTCATTAATAAAAACCTTAAATGTAAAAATGTAAATTACACACAATTAAATATGCAACAATTGCTGATTCCATTAAATTAAAGAAATCTCTAATATGGCTGATAATATGGTGCGAATATATTTTGCATAAACGTATCCCGATATAACATTATTAGAGTGCCATCCATCTTAACATTCCCTCTGTCCTCTCAGCCCATCCACAGCATCTCCGTTCTGTCGTAACTCCGCCGTGTCTCTGTCTGCGTTCTTCAATAACGGCGCTGTGCCCTGCGGCTGTCATGAGGTGGGTGCAGAGAGCGATACCTGCGAGACCTTCGGAGGACAGTGCAAGTGCAGACCCAACATGATTGGCCGAGACTGTTCCCAGTGTGCCACGGGATACTACGGCTTCCCCAACTGTAGACGTGAGTATCACCAACCACATGGTGGAACGATGGATTGATTGATGGATGGATGGATTGATGGATGATTTTGTTTCCTTTTCTCTCTAGCATGTAACTGTGGCACTCGTCTGTGTGAGCCTGTGACGGGTGAGTGCATCTGTCCTCCACGGACTCTGCAGCCCGACTGTGTCACCTGTGAACCCCAGACGTTTGCCTGCCATCCTCTGGTGGGGTGTGAGATGTGCAACTGCTCCAGGCCTGGAGTGGCTTCACTGGAAATCGGCTGTGACACACACAACGGCCAGTGCAGGTACAGTAGAGCAAGACACACACACGCATATATACTGCATGCAGTGGCTCATGGGGTCGACTTTCTAAGAATCTGAATGAATATGTGGTTTAAAATTTGCCTCAGTTTACCTCAGGAATGCCAGTTTTTTTTTTACTTAAATAAATAAATAAATAGGAAAATTTAAATAAATAGAAAAAAAATAAGAAATTATATTTTGTATGAACAAATTGAAGCCTTTTTGGCCCATCAAGGACCATTTTAGGACCATTTTAGGACCATCATGATTTTTATTTTTACTTTTTTGTTTGTGGCAGTTAAGCACTTTTTCCACAATCATGTCTCAAGGATGTAGTATATGCGTCCTTATACCTCATTCCTGTGACAGTTCTTCTGACATCATATTATTTCTTCATCATTAATTCTCTATCAGTGTTATTCTACTATTTTTTATTTGCTGTTATAGTGTTTATTAATATAAATACAATAAAAAATTGTACATGGTCTCTTTCCAAATAAATAAATAAAAACAATATATTTGAATTAGCTTCATTAGCTATATTTCTTTTTAGCTTTAATCTATATTTATGTTTTAGTTTTAATAATTTTAATACTTCAACTTAACCTTTTTTATTTCAGTTAGTTTCCAAGGCAACTTTTCAAATTAAGTTGTTAGTCTAATATTTACATTTTTTTATGTCAGCTTTAATTTAATTTTTAATTTAATTTAATTTAATTTAATTTAACGTTTTTTAGAAGTCTTATTTTTAATCTTAGTTTTAGTTAATAACACTGTTCTCTATCCATTGATATATGTAGCTTCCTTTTGTCAAGTTGTCCAGGGGGGATCTTAGAGCTTAAGATGAATTTCATTTAGAAATTAGAGCTTAAGACGAATTTCATTTATAGTCAGCATGGCAAACTGTTTTAACCATATGAACTAGTGAACAAGAAAATTTTAAATCAGGGGGAAATGTGCTTCTTTTTATATATAAAAAACAATGGTTCAATGGAAAATATAGCAAGTGAGGCAAAGCAAACGCACACCTGTGGAGGTACAAATTGAAGGAAAAAATACTTAATTGAAAAAGAACAACTTCACACTCACTTAAGCATTGGCTATTTTTTAATCAACGTTTCGGCTAGTAGCCTTTGTCAAGGTATAGTGTCACAAAATGGAGAGTAGTATAAGTAAAGGAGATAATTGTACACAGCTGAGAGTGGTGAGATCCAAATCATCCAATAATGAACTAATTGACAATTAGACTCTAACATGGAAGGAATAACATCAACAAATTGATCTATACAAACAGACCATAAGAATAAATGAAAATTACAATCTAACAAAATTAAATCAAATTGTTACATTCACAAAAAACAACTTAAATCAGAATCACATCAAAATAATCACCAAAACATTAAATAGTTAACAGATTATAAATTAGATTCTGACACAAAAAATAATTGCAATGAACAAGTCAATCCATTGATGAATTGATCAAGCACCAAAACAACAAAGAAAATTCCAAGCAAACAATATTTTAAATCAAATTATTACATTAAGCTAACAAAAAACAACATAAGTCAAAATCAACATTTAAACCATGTGGAGTCAAGGTTTTCAATTTATGGATCCAAAAAACCTCCCGTTTAAGTAGTATTTGGTCCAAATCACCACATCTCCTCGGTGAATATATTTTCTCGATTCCTATATATCGTAATGAAGTGATGGGATGATTAAAATCAGTAAAGTGCACTGCTAATGGATAATTCATATTTTTACATCTTATAGTACTACGGTGTTCAGCAATGCGCGTTTTAAGTTCT